AGGGAAGCACTAATACCACTCTATAAAGCCTTAGTAAGGCCACACTTAGAGGACGGCATCCAGTTTTGGTCACCACACTATAAAAAAGATGTTGAGACTCTAGAAAAAGTGCAGAGAAGAGCAACCAGGATGATGAGGGGACTGGAGACTAAAACATACGATGAACGGTTACAGGAACTGGGCTTGGCTATTCTGGTGAAGAGAAGGACCAGGGGAGGCATGATAGCGGTCTTCCAATATTTGAGGGGCTGCCACAGAGATGAGGAGGGGTCAAGATATTTTCCAAAGCAACTGAAGGCCAGACAAGAAATAATGGATGGAAACTGAACAGGGAGAGATTCAACCTGGAAATAAGGAGAAACTTTCTGACAGGGAGAACAATCAACCCATGGAACAGGAGTTGCCCTTGGAAGTTGTGGGAGCGCCATCAGTTGAGGCTTTCAAGAAGAGATTGGACTGTCATTTGTCAGAAATGGTGTAGGGTCTCCCGCTTGGGCGGGGGGGTGGACTAGATGACCTACAAGGTCCCTTCCAACTCTGTTTATCTGTTATTATCTCCAACTTTGCCCCCAATGTCCAGGTTTTCGGGCTGGAGAAAAACCCTCTGAGGAACAGCCTTTGACTGTAGAAAATTCAGTCCAAAACCAAGGTACCCACAAACTGTGACTTAACATCAAAACAGACCAAGCTGAAGTAATTGGTTTGGCAGGGCAGGAGCAGGAATTTCAAACTTGAAAGCACGGCAAAACTCACACTGTTGGGAAGACGCCAGGAACACAGATAAGCCACGACGATACAAGATAAAATCACGTTTGCTCTCAACAGCTTGTTGCACACAGCCTGCCTTTTTTTATACACTGTGTTCCCAGCTGCAGCTAATGAAGGGAATCAGGGCCCTTTCCTCCCCAGTAAGCCACACAACCCACGTTGCTCTCTTCTCCGTTCCTCCCTGCATGCCCTAGGATGAAGAGGGGGTGGGCCTGGGTCTTCCTCTGAATTCCCTCTCCCTTGTTCTACCTCTTCCCTGCTCTGCCCAGCCGGACTTTGTCCTTCCCCAGTTTTTTCCACAGCCAATGGAGCCACACTCCCACTTTGGCTTCTCCTCCAAGTCAGATTCCAACAGAGGCAGGACACCTCCACGACCAACTCGCCGTGGGACAACGTAACAATTCTTATTTCATTATTTTAAAATAAATAAAGCTACTTTAATTTTTGCCATGCACGCGTTACGCTGTTCCTGGAGTGGTGCAGTGGTCTAATGGCGGAGTAAAAACCTTCTGGTCTATAGTCTATTTTAAATCCCATATCATTTCTTCCAGCCAGTGAAACGATCTGTCTTGATGGCTATGGAGATTCTCTACCATCCAGAATCCAGGTTCTCCCAAAGGTGCTTTTTCCAAAAGGCAACTGGACTTTCTTGGGTCTTTTCTCTCCCCTTGAAAACATTTTGCTTCTTCTCGAAGAAGTTTCTTCAGTTCTTCTTCAGTTCAGGTCTTCAGAACTGAAGAAGCTCCTTGGATGAGAGAAGCGAAACCTCTACTATAGATCAGGGGTCTCCAACCTTGGCAACTTGAAGACTCGTGGACTTCAACTCCCAGAATTCCCCAACCAGTTATGTTGTAGTCCATCCACCTTAAAGCATGCTGGCTGAGGAATTCTGGGAGTTGAAGTCCACGAGTCTAAAAGTTACCAAGCTTGGAGACCCTTGATCTAGATTAACAACGGCAACTTCTTATAAAGAAAATTTATGTAAAATATTTCATAGATGGCATTTGCCACCTGCTAGGCTAGCTAAAATGTTTAAAAATATGTCTAGCAAATGTTGGAAAAGGTAATCAAAAGACGGGCACATTTTATCACATGTGATGGACTTGTGATAAAAAAAAAATGGGCAAAGATACCCAGGTGGTTAGAAAAGATGAAAGGGGAAACATATACATTTTAAACCTGAATTGTTTTTATTAGGTATTAAGAATATAATTGGTGGTATGCTAAAGCAATGTACACATTTGCATTTCACTTCTATTAGCATGTTATACATCTTCGTATTTACTTCGTCATTTCAAGCATTATATATCCATGCATACATTTTTATTTACATTTATTTACACGTAAACCTTATTGTTTTGTGATGTTACAAAATTATCATTTAATTCCTTTTCCTTATCCATTTGTACCAGACATCCCATATTTTATAATATTCTCCGCTTTAGCAACATTGTAAAATGTGAAGATTTGTTTTTAACTGATGAAACGTTGAATAAATACATTTATTTATTTTTAAAAAAAAAGAATATAATTCGTATTATTAAGCAAATTAAATACCCAGACAACACGAGGTTTATTCAGCATCAATAAAAAAATTTTTTTTTAAAAAAACTAGGGATAATCAAAAATCAATATCCAAAAAAGATAAAATATATAATGTTACATGTTTTAACAGCGGCCAGAATAGCTTATGTGCAAATGTGGAAAGAACATAAGATTCCAATGGAAGAATTAGTACTACAAAAAATAGCAGATTGTGCAGAAATGGATATGCTCACACTAAAAATGAAGGAAAAAGAAGAATCTCACTATTACTCAATTTGGCATAGATGGTGCCAGTGGTTAGAAAAGAGAGATAAGAATTGAAAAAAAAGAGGACTACTTAGGAGAATTCCTAAGAGAGTGATACACAGATATGTAGATTGGTAAAATAGATAAAGTTAGATATTAATAGCGAATATAAGTAAAGGTAATAATTATTAGTGATATGTACGAATAGATGATAGAAACAGAAGATAATACTGTATGTTGATGCAAATGCTGTTGAAAATGTAATTACGATTTGTACTGGTGGAAAACAATAAAAATCATTACTATAAAAAAATTTTTTAAAAAAAGAATGGAAAAAGCTTCTTGGAGAAGTGAAATGTTTCCAAGAGGGAAGAAAACTGCAAGAAAGTCCACTTGCCTTTTGGAAAAACCTGGAATTAAGGAGAAACTTCCTCACAGGGAGGACGATTAACCAGCAGAACTTCTTGCCACCAGAACTTGTGAGTGCTCCAACACTGGAGGTTTCTGTGAAGAAACTGGACAGCCGCTTGCCTGAAATGCGTAAAGGGCAGTGATGGAGAACCTTTTCGGCACCGAGTGCCCAAAGAGTGTGCGCGCATCCCCAAAATGCAATATGTGTGCGCTGCCATGCATGTGCCCTGACCCCGTGCATGCTCCCGCCCCACGCATGCACCAGTGTGTGCATTACTGCCCCTGTGCCCCGCCCCTGCATATGCACCTCAGACCTGCACATGTGCCCCGCCTCACCATCCATGCATGCACATCCCCCATGCATGCACCCCGCCCCCCGCGCATACACGGCAGAGACCCAAAGACCAGCTGGCCGGTGGGAGGCACACAGGCATGCATGTGCAGTGGAGCTGAGCTAGGACGACGCATGCCATAGGTTTGCCATCATGGGTATAGGGCAGGGGTGGGATTCTACCGGTTTTCACCTATTCGCAAGAACCGGTTGTTAACATTCTAAGCAGTTCGGAGAACCGGTTGTTAGAAGGAATTACTGGTCTAATCCTGTAAGGAAGGCAGGAAGGAAACATTCTGGTGTTGCTTACAGAAACTGCCTCTCTGTTAACCCTTTTTACATTCTTGGCAGGACTAGACTTCCCGTCTCAGGAACGTCTGGAGTTTTTTCCCCCTCCTTTGCTGGTGCTTTGCTTGTGTAGAGTGACCATTCCAAGTTACAATGGTGCTGAAAAAAAGTGACTTATGACCGTTTTCCACACTTACGACTGTTGCAGCATCCCCACAGTCATGAGAGGCCAGGCGAGGAGATACGTGCCTCGATTGTGAGTGATATCGAGTTGGCCACGCCCAGCCAATAACATGACCACCAAGCCACGCCCACCAAGTAATCCACGCCCACCGAACCGGTTGTTAAAAAATTTGAATCCCATGCCTGGTATTGGGTCTCCTGCTTGAGCAGGGGGTTGGACTAGAAGACCTCCGAGGTCCCTTCCAGCGTGATTCTGATTGCTTTAGCACTGCTCCTCCTCCTGGGTGCTTCCCCAGGCCTCTTTCCTCACCCCACCCCTACGTTGCCGTCTGCATCCTGCGCATTCCTGCGAAGGAATCTGGAGTGGGGGTGTTAGCGGACCTCCCTCCGTTTGGAGAGTGGAAGGAGGGGGGGATTTGAGGTGGGGAGGGATGCGGAGGCATCGCTGCAAGTTGCTTCTGGCTTGTCCAGGCGAGTTTCGCTCACAGCCTCCCCCCTTTTCCCCCCCCAGGAGGACTGGATGGCAGGAGAGCCCTCCTCCCCTCGGCACATCTGCAGCTGGGTTGGGACTTGAAAGGCAGCCAAAAATTGGGCCGGGCCAGGATAAAAGGGTGGGAGGGGAGACAAGCTGAAGGAAGAGCCCAGAGAGAGAGAGAGAGAGAGAGGAGTTGGGTGGAAACTGGAGGTTGACTAGCTACGGAGAAGAGGAGAATCCACCGAGGGGTCCTGTGTGGACGAGGTAAGAGGAGTAAGCTTGGCCAAGGTGTGAGGAGGGGGCTTCTGTTGCCACGGACCTCCTGCTCGCTTATCCCAGCTGGCATCTTCTGGTTTTGGACTTGTGGAGAACTTTTTTGACCAGTTAAGGCTGAAGAAAGTGGCCAAGAATCCGCTCGTCCGGAGGTGGCCCCCAAGTATCCGACAAAGGAGGTCAACGGGAAGGAATCGGGGGGGGGGGGGTCTTGAGAAAAGGTGGAGTGGCTAAGCTGGGCCCCCATCTCTTCTTTGCAGCCAGGGTGGTCAGTATGGGTTGTGTTGCCTCCAGAGATGAGGTGCTGGTCTTGCAAATGAGGGAGCTTTGCTGGACGCTCTCTTCCTGGAGCATTTGGACACTTGACCTCTTTTGTCCTGGGGAGGAAGGGAAGGAAGGAAGGGGGGGTGCTACCTTGCAAGGAGGTGATCGAAAGGATCCGTAAATACGTCTGGGAGAGCTCCCAGACTCGGTCAAGGGGAGGAAGAGAAGAAGTCAAACGGGAAGGCAACCTCTGGAGAAGTTCAGGTGGACTTCCAAACTAGATGCGGATCTTTCCCGGTGTCGGGGATTTCCCCTGGACAGGGTGAGAAATGGGAGATGGTTTCCAGGCTGTTCTGTTCAACAGCTCAGCGTCTGGCGTGGACTCTCGGCCCCAGATCGCTGCTTCCTGCCCCACCTGGGCTCTCCTCCAACTGCTGAAATTCCACGACCAGCTCTGGAAAGGAAAGGAACCCCCAATAATGCAAAGGATCTGTGTGTGTGTGTGGAATTGCGGGTTTGCAAGGAGGCGGTTGCTCCTTTTGGGGATCCTTTTTGAGGGACGGGCGCCCCCCCCCCCCACTGACTGTTGTAATCTCTCCGTCCTGGAGGAAATGTCTCCAGCTGAATTCCTGCCAGCCTTCAGCTGTTTCGAGTGCAGGAATGCTTACGGAAACCCGTAGTAAGGCTGGTTCTTTTGTTCAGCGCTCTACCGGTTGGGAAGCGGACCGGGAGGAGTTGGCCTCTGAGAAGACCATGGGATGGGGGGGGGGGGTGCCATCCTCGGGGGGGGGGGAAAGGTGGAGTCCTCTGGGGTCAGCTGGGGGCAGGGGCTCCTTGGTTGTGAGGGACCTCAGTCTCGTTCCAGGAAGATCTCCAGCTAGATCCAGAAAGATGGTGAAAGATCTGCTTTCTTAACATTCGATTCTCCTGCAAAAATATCGGCATCAGTGGACATAATGTCCCTTTGCCAGCTTGGGGAAGGGTCTTCAAAACTGGAATCTGGGGGGGGGCACAGATTGTTTTTCCCCTCCCCTTTAGTTTGGTATTGGGTGGTTATTTTTTGGGGGGTGGGGTCTTCTGCACGCTCCATATAGTAGGGAAGCAGTTAGATCACAAATGCAAAAAACCCTGCAGATGCTGCCTGGGCCTGGTTTGTAAGGGATATCGAGTATCACGGCTGAGTTGTGTGTTGACAAAGAGTAAGATAAACAAACTCTGGGCTGCTCTGATGCTAAGGGGAGCTCCGAGGCCAAAGGAGTATCGATGTATCTGGGCAAGAACTGCCCTTTCTTTCTTTCTTTCTTTCTTTCTTTCTTTCTTTCTTTCTTTCTTTCTTTCTTTCTTTCTTTCTCTCTTCTCTCTTTCCTTCCTTCCTTTCTTTCCTTCCGTCCATTCTTCCAGACTCTCTCCTTCTTTCTTTTTTCTTATTCTTTCTTTCTGTCTCCTCCCTCTTTCTTTCCTTCCTTCTTTCCTTTCTTTCTTTCCTTCCTTCCATCCATTCTTCCCTTTCTCCTTTTTTCTTTCTTTCTCACTCCTTTCTTTCTTGTTCTTTCTTCTCTCTTTCTTTCCTCCCCCTTCCTTTCTTCCTTCCTTTCTTTCTTTCTTTCTTTCTTTCTTTCTTTCTTTCTTTCTTTCTTTCTTTCTTTCTTTCTTTTCTTTCTCTCTCCTCTCTTTCTTTCTTTTCTTCCTTTCTTCTTTTCTTCCTTCCTTCCTTTCTTTCCTTCCATCCCTCCTCCCAGACTCTCTCCTTTCTTTTTCTTGTTCTTTCTTTCTGTCTCCTCCCTCTTTCTCTCCTTCCTTCTTTCCTGTCTTTCCTTCCTTCCATCCATTCTTCCCTTTCTCCTTTTTTCTTTCTTTCTCACTCCTCTTTCTTTCTTGCTCTTTCCTCTCTCTTTCTTTCCTTCCTTCCTTTCTTCCTTCTTTCCTCCCCCTTCCTTCCTTCCTTCCTTCCTTCCTTCCTTCCTTCCTTCCTTCCTTCCTTCCTTCCTTCCTTCCTTCCTTCCTTTCTTTCTTTCTTTCTTTCTTTCTTTCTTTCTTTCTTTCTCTCCCTTCCTCCCTCTCACCCACACACCCACACATCTATCACCTATCATTTATCCTATCCTCTCTATCATAGATGAACTGTGCTTGGTGCAGTGGTTAGAATGCAGCATTGCAGGCTGACTCTGCCCACTGTCCGGAATTCGATCCTGACCAGTTCAAGGTTGACTCAGCCTTCCATCCTTCTGAGGTCAGTCAAATGAGGACCCAGATTGTTGGGAGCAAGAGGCTGGCTCTGCAAACCTCTTAGAGAGGGGTGTAAAAGCCCCGTGAAGCAGTATATAAGTCCAAGAGGGCTATTGTGTAGGATTTCTCTTGCAAGGAGAATGAGAAAGGGTTTTTTGTTTTGCTCATCAAAAGAAATTGGTCAAAGAATGGAGCGGCTTGCTCCAGAAACGTTGTGCCCGTTCCTTGTTGCAAAACCTTATCGGTTGCCCAGCCAGTTTCCCAGATCTGCGGGTGCAGGGGGGGGTGGGGGAGGGGAGAGAAAAGAAACAAGTCC